TGAGTAAATTACACGGGGAGTTAATCAACTGTTTGTTACAACGCTAATTTTCGTAAAATAATAACAAATTAAGAGTTTTTTTGTAATTTGTATGAGTTGTTCCTTGCAGATCACGAAGGGAGTTCTATAAATTGTTCTAATACGAATGCTTCTGAAGCCAACTTTCAAAATTACATTTAGGACGATGATAGTAAATTTGTACTTTTTATTTAATTTTAATTATTGTAATATACCACCACCAGAGTTTGAGTCTGAAAACTATTTTTCTACTAAAAGTAAGTACTACAAAAGTTTTGACATATGAAATTAAAAGTTTATCAAATTATTACTAAATCATTTCAAATCTGATGTCAGAGCATTTTAATCCATAGGTCAATTATGTACCTACATTTCCATACCCTATGAACTTGGCTAATAAAATACCATCCAACAATCCAACTACTTATGCTGCACATGTTGACCAATCAAATCATAATTGCGAGCAGTAAAAAACTAAGTATTAATATTTCAAATAAATTGAAATTTTTAATACAAATGATAATAATGTTGAATTAAAATACTGAATAACTGGCAATTTTTAAATTGATTTAGTAACTTTTACAATATCTTTTAAACCAAGCGTATTTATTTAGATAAATATCTGATGCCGAATAACCAACAGCAGCTACAATAACACTAAATACTTTAACAGCAGCAGCAACAACTAGCTGATGATTTAGAGTAACACAAATTTAAGTTTTTTAATATAATAAATTTGATAAAATGAAATTCTTATTTTTTCAATCAATATGTTTTTAATTATTAGATAATGACTTATAGCCAAAAAATAACTTTTTTTACATATTTTTTTCCGTCCAATTTTTCTATGGTACTATGTATCTATCAACTTGCTACCCAAGGGCTCGAAGGCCCTTATGCCCTAAAACACTCCGCTCAACATCTTCATCAAAATCATTCAGTTCATTATCCATGCGCGAGATGATTTTCGATTTGCTGTCGACCGACCCGTAAAAATAATTCTCTTACAGCAATGTTAATACTTAATTGACTCATCAGTTTTGCAATATTACGTAACTATTATTTAAACAGTTTACTAAGACTACCAGTTAAAGTAGATTTGAGATTATCTTACATGTGGTACATCAAGATCATTTTTATTATAAAATTAAAACAACTTAACTGTGGGCTTTGTTCTGTTGAAATAAATTAGATTCAAGTATTCCACTCTATATAATGTAACGATTTGTAGATCCGAGAGGGTCCAGGAAGCAGTTGTTGGGATCGATCATAGAACATCGTTTTCGTGCGTAGCTATTATGGAAGGAAAGCAACCAAAAGTCATTAAAAATGCTAAAGGTTTTAGAACGACACCTTTCTACGTTGCTTTAGCGGAAGGTTTATCTTTATATCAACAAAGGTTTATGTTTATACCAACAAAATATTTAGTAGACTATATAGCAGATAAGCAATGTTATATATGATTTAAGTGTGATACTTTCAATATCTCCATCCTTGAAATTTAAAAGAGAGATTTTGAAGTCAACTACACTAACGAAGACATCTTCCTGGAAAGTAAAAATTGTTTACAACGCCCTTGTCATCTTACCAGAGAATTCAAGAAAGAGACAACTGCTAACTTTAAAGCTAATCAGTATATAATGATTTAACCTTAACATTCCAAATCACAGTAAAGTATCGATATTACCAAGAACACTATGGCGATGTAGTATCTAAAGGAAGTCGCTAAGAAGACAAGGATCGATTTGTCCAGTTGCTAGCAGACAAACTTCAGCCTACCCTACCTCACAATGGATGTTAGCGGCCCTAAGCAGTTAAATTTCAAACTGTTGCGTAGCAAGTGTGAGGCCCTTGTCACCAACCTGATCTAGTGCACAATTTAATCTTGCCAGAAGACTCGGTGATTCCAAGGTAGTCAAATCCGACATTGGCGATATCCTATTATTCGGATGTATGTGAACTTTGACGAAGCTGTCGCCATCGGTACTGCTATTCGGAAAGGTGTTTTGGTGGCGACGTGACGAATATCTAGTTCCCCGATATCAATTTATTTTCATTGGGTGTGTACTTGATACCAACATTTTCATTTAATACTGGAATCTAGTTGCCATAATAAACGTCTAATCTCTCTGAAACCTAGAGGCTGACAAATTATCTGTCTGAAAAATAAATATAAATTCTCAAAGGTTTTAAAAAATTATTACAAATTTAATTTTGAAAAGTAATGTTTTAAATTTCTTTTTACAGGTTTTGAAATCCTTTATGGTATGTTGATCACAGGAAACAGAACTATTCCCACGAAAAAGAGCCAGGTCTTTTCAACGGCTGCTGATGACCTGATTCAGCTGGAAATCAAGGTGCATCAGGATAGCTTTGGGTCGCCTCCAACAACGAGCTTCTGGGACAGTTTACGTTCGTAATCCCTCACGATATCTCCTTACGATATCCCTCTTGCGCCACGTAATATACCCCAGGTTAAAGTCATGTTTGATATTAACGTTAATGGTTATAGTGCACGTGTCTGCCAAAGACATGGAAAATTGACAGGAACAACAGAGTAAGTTGGACACATGGTCTTGAATTTATTTTCCTGCATGAGGTTTGCTAGTAGTACATTATATGCATTTTTGAGCTATTAACTAATTGTCTATTTTATTAGTTGTCATTCAATCTAGTGATTATTTGAACAAAGACGAAGTCGAAGATGTTGTCAAGGATGCTGAACTCAACGCTAAAAAAAATAGAATCAAGACAGTGCAGTAACCGTCAACCAGGCTTAGGGTATTATCCTCGATACTCAAGCCAAGATAAAGAAGTTTACACTACAACTGCTAAAAGATGAGATATTTGAAAAAAAAAATAATAAAAAAAATGAATTCCAACAATTAGAACTTTGCAATTTATATTTATTGCTATATTCCATTTCTAGGCCATTCACAAGCTTGTCAAAGAGAAAGATGTGTATTTTTATCCATTGTTATAAGTGACAAGCTATTAATACATCATTTTTTGCGATTTACGGCTTTAATTTTATCTTAAAAACATTAATGTTAAGTACAAAAAAGTTGTATTGTAAATGATCTATGAGTTTTGCATTAAGTTTTTAGTCTAAAATGCAAATAAAAGAAAAAACAAGTACAATGGATAGGGGAAAACGATGATTTTGCGATTTTTCGGGATTTTTTGCAATTTAAAGCGCCAATTTAATGTCAGAACTTAATATGTTGAAAACAAAAATTGTATGTATTTGAACGAGATCTACAACTATCTCGTATAATTTATAATTTCAAATGCAAAACAAAAAAGTTGAATAGGAGATAACAACTTTTTATTCATTTTACAAGCACTTTTTGGCTCATAGAACGTGTGGATTACATCCTAAGTGAAAATGTTATACACAAAAAAGTTGTATATTAATAAGATCTACAACTTTTACATACAATACTATAATCAAAAATACAAAATGAATAAGTTTGATTGGGAAAAACTACGTATTTTTAATTTTTTTAGCATTTTTTGGCTCACAGAACGTTTGGGTTATGTCCTGAACGAAAATGTCAAACACAAAAAAATTGTATTTCAATGATATCTACAACTATGTCTATCACAATAAACCTTAAAAATATCCCGTAACAGAGTTATAGCCGAAAAACTATTTTTTTTCACTGGAAGTACCATCTTAAAATGACTGCCATTTTCTTTCTAAAACAGGAAACCTTGCCGATTTCAAACCATCACGTGAGACGTAAAAGACGCAGCTCTCTGTAAAATTTCAGCTCAATGCGACAAAAACTGCATAAGTTAGTCAAAAAACTTGATTACGCCCATACATACATACATACACCTCTGACGCTAAGGTCTGCGATCGCAATTTTTTTTTTACAAAAACACTAAGTTTTAAGGGTGCTCTTTTTGCTTTAGCAAAAATATAAGAAACTCATAAGTATCAGTCGCTCCTAAAAAGTTGTTTTATATTTAGCTTCAAATATTTTGATCGAACAAATTTTAAAATTTTTGTTTAAAAATTTTATTGATGACTTTTAGTAGTTTTGTAATATATTCGCATGAGGACGTACATACAATTTAACGTTAAATGTGTAATTGAAGTAAGATTTTTCTGATTTTACTTTAAAGATTTAATATCATTCAATTAAATAGAGCTTAAAAGGTTATAACTGATTTTTAATCAGTGACTACAAAAACCTCTGAGTTTATTTTCTTTTGAAAATTGATACTTCTGATTTTTCAGTCTGTTCAATTCACTTAGTGACAAACTGTAGAGCAGAGATTCATGAAGCTGCTGGTAGGAATGAAATTTAAGATTTTAAAATAGTCATCAAAGTTAAAAATTTTTTACTTTTATATACATCCGCCAGTTTAGGTTAGAAAAATCTGATAACAAACGCGTAATAAGTGACCTTCGTACCAATTTTCAATAGAATCGCACTACTCTATAGCAATTCTTGCAATGGTTTCTTTATACAGATGCTTTAAGGGTAATATTTTTTAGAATGCAAAAATATGTTCTGTCTATTTTTCAAGTTTGTGTAAAGATTTTTAAATTCTTTTAAATAATGTTTTAATGTTATATTACATAACCATAGTTAGAAAAAATTCTTTCCCAGAAAATTAAGAATGCAATCTTTTCTTGCTAAAATTACATTTAATTAATTGTTATTTGTACGAGACATACTCTCAATTAAGTTTTGTTCAAAAGTACAAAGCTAAATCCTAAATTTTTAGGATATAATTATGTTTGTAAATGATAAATAAAGCTTAAGGGTTAGTTTTTAAGGAGATTTGAGGTAGCCACCTCAGGTGTTTAATTTTCCGTATGTTAAGTTTAGGCTGTGTAATTATTAAAAAATTTACATTAAATATAAGTCTCTCTCCATTTACTACTATTATGCTTATGACTAACATTAAAGAAAATCTTGTTTTTTGGTTGTATCTATAGTTCAATAAAATTTTGTCTTTTCAAGGTGTCAGATGTCAATGATGACGTTCGTCGTGCAGCAGTAACAGGCCTTGGATTTTTGCTTTTCAGGTAAGTTTTTTTTTCAAACGTTAAACTATTAAAATTTGTTATGATAATACACTCATCAGCAACCACACAGTGACATGTTCTAGTGTCCCTAGTATTTATGTATCGTTAAGTAATGGATCTCCCCCCTCTTCTTGCGAAGTCAAGTAACGACTTCGGTAACTTGCAGCAACAATGAGCAATTAATTTAATTATGAACATGTTTTTAGGTGCCAATGAGAGGTAAATTATCTACCTACCGTGGGTTAAAAACCAACATGTCACACCACGCCTTGCTACTCATCCACACCACACATTTTGAAGCTTATTTACTTTTTTTTCTTGTTATTTAACTAATCCTCAACAAACAAACAAAAAAAAAACGTTTTTTTTAAACACATTCCTCGAGATTTAAACCGCCGCACAGTGGTCTCAAAAGCTAAAAAAATGCTCAAAATTCGTACTTCCCCTGGATTTTGAATCAAAAAAATTAATTTTTGGCTTATTTTGTTCGTAAGAGGATTCTCGATGAGAATCCGTTTCCCTCGGATGTGTAACGACTTCGTGTATGTATATGTTTTTTAGCTATATATAGAGCAATTTTTGATAGTCAAAATACTCTGGACACATAATACGTTGTTAAAGATTACTGATTCGTACAAAACTTTGAATACAGGGGCTTTGGGGTCACTGATCACGAATCTAAAGTTCAATTTGCCAAACTCAAAATGACGGATCCATGATGGCGGATGAAATTTCCAAAAATCAACCGATTCGAACCAAACTTGATATACGTTGGATTTCGATGACGCTTATCACGAATCTAAAGTAAAATTTGCCAACTTCAAAATAGTGGATCCAAGATGGTGGATAAAATTTTCAAAAATCAATCCATTCTTGGTATACGTTGGATTTCGGGGTCGCTTATCACAAATCTAAAGTTAAATTTTCCCAAGTAAAAATAGCGGATCAAAAATGGCTTCAAAAAGTTTTGAAATTAACAAATATACATTTTATAAAATAGTAGTAGTGGAAAAAAAATTTTTCTTGNAAGTTTACTGATTCGTACAAAATTTTGGATACAGGGCTTTTTGGAGTCACTGATCATGAATCTGAGGTCGGATTGGTCAATTTTAAGATGGGGGATCCAAGATGGCGGACGAAATTTTCAAAATTCAACTGAATCGTACCAAACTTGGTATACGGGGATTTTAGTGGTCGCTGATTACGAATCTAAAGTTAAATTTGCCAACTTCAAAATGGCGGATCCAAGATGGTGGATGAAATTTTTAAAAATCAACTCATTTCAACCAAACTTAGTATACGTTTGATTTTCAGGTCGCTTATCATGAATCTAAAGTTAAATTTTTCAAAGTACAAATAGCGGATCCAAAATGGCTTAAAAAAATTTTGCAATTAATGAATATACATTTTCAAAAATACCATCGTATACTACACGAAAGTGTTAAAAAAAAATGTTTTCCTTGCTATTTTTGGAATAAAATTGCCATTTTCGAAAAGAAGAATTTTTTAATTTTTAAGATTCTTAAAGCTTGATACGATCGCATATTTTGGTCTGAAAAGCATAAAAAATGCTCAAAATTCGTGGTTCCCCTGGATTTTGACTAAGAAAAATCGATTTTGGGCTTGTATTGTTCGTCAGATAATGTCCTACAAAAATCCGTTTCCCTTTACCCAATGGCGTTAAAATTTATAAATTCTTAAGATTCTTAAAGCTTGATACGATCGCATATTTTGGTCTGAAAAGCATAAAAAATGCTCAAAATTCGTGGTTCCACTGGATTTTGACTAAGAAAAATCGATTTTGGGCTTGTATTGTTCGTCAGATAATCTCCTATAAGAATCTGTTTCCCTTGAACCGATCGCAGTAATATATATATATATACGTTGCTTCGGGTTTCTGTGAAATACCGAATTTTGCTGTTTTTTTTTTAATCATCAGAGATAATACACTATAACTTCGTAGGATATTGACTGTTGATGCTATTTGTTATTTGTAAAATGTACCTATGTCAATTTTATAATTTATATGTATATATATGTATATGGGTGTGTCTTATAATAAATGCAAAAATTCAAAAACACCTAATTGTGAGTAACACATTTCATCATTAGCCTTGAGCGTAACTACAGATCAGCGCCACCAAACGGGAGAGCCAAGAACGTTTGGGCTGGTCGACCGTACTAATATTATACCTATATATTCAGAGCGATATGTAAACATTGTTACATGTATATATCATTCTGAATATATAGGTATAATAATAGTATGGTCGTCTTGGCCAAACGTTCTTGGCTCTCTCGTTTGGTGGCGCTGATCCGGAATTGCGCTTGAGGCCAATTGGGCACACATTATCTGAACAAGTACATTCTTATGTGTTCGTACATATAAGTATTTGTACCAATAGGTTTAGCAAGGTTAAGCCTCATCGTCTTATTTTCTTCAACTTATGATTGAAGAAACATAGAGAGTATAAAAATTAGGATATTGTTCTCTCATGCTCATAATAATTATTTGAAGGTGAGTTCTTAATTATATATATGTGTGGTTATATATTCATAGTTATATATATAGACACGTATTTATATATACTTTCACGGAAGTAGATTTCCTTCTGTTTAATGCTATTTGCTGTTTACAAAAAATACTATTGTTGTTTATTAATGTATATGTGTATATATATTTGTATATATACTTAGATACATATATACGTATGAGTAGGTGTGTCTTGTAATAGCTGAAAGAATTTGAAAACACATCAAAAAGTAACGTTCTTATGGGGTTATAGGGTTTTTGTTGGCAGAACTCATGATATTTAATTATTTCACATAACTGGCCCAAAATTACAAAGTTTCATAAGTTTTTGCTCGTTAGCAGTACTGTTTTTGAGTGACAAGGCTAAAAGGTCAAAAGGTTATTGTGCTGTTAAGCGGGCAAGATACAAGATTTTCAAGTATTGGGTGTCTAAGTGGAATGGTTCAGAAACAAGGAAATTTGCAATGTTTTTGGACGATTTTTGATGTTATGAAAAATCGTGACGAGTTGGGATCAAATAGAGGTTAGATTTTGATTCAGTGACCCTGAAAACCTCTAGTAGGTGTGGTGTAATCCGATTTAGATTTATATTTTTTTAAAGAATATTCTAACGTTTTTTAGCCGAATTTTGAGGTTATGAGAAATCTTGCCGTGATGGGATAAAATAGAGGTTGGTTTCAGATTTGGCTACCCCGAAAACCTATTACTTTAAAATCTAGTCAATTAAAATGTACGGATTTATTTACTTACAGTCTAACGTTATAAGAAACTTCTAATTTACTGTACTAGTGTGGTGTCAGTTCCGGTGTATGGTTGTTGATGAAAGAAAACATTTTTTTTACTTAACTTAATGTTTAACATTCTTTATCTGTCTACATTTTTTCTTCGTGTAATATTTATAAAACAAATAAAAATTTTTTTAAATTGAGTAAAGTAAAAAAAAATGTTTTCTTTCATCAACAACCATACACCGGAACTGACACCACGCTAGTAATTTTAAGAACTATTTTATGTTTCTTATGTACATGGGAGAGTTTTGCATGTGATGAATACGAGTCCTGGTAGTAAAGCGCAGCTAAAATATGCTTTTACTGAATTAATTAGGGACTATAATTAAATCATGAGTGTTTTAAGTGTAACTGCCAAGGATATTTTGACAGAATTGCATCATAGCAAGGGTTTGTCATGGGAAGAACGAAAAACTTTTATCGTCCAGTATTTGATAAAAAAGTGTGGCCTTGCTGACAGTGTTGTTTTGCGACAAGAGCTGGAGAATGAGCTACGCCAAAAGTTTTATAACAACTTATAAAAGAGATTGGATAAGTTGCCAAAAACAAAAAAATTTGTTTGGATGTACTACATAGATATGAGAATTGGGCTAATGGACTATTTACTTTCAATGAACATAGTCACAGATAAAAAAGTGCACGTCTACGAACACGTAAGAATTCAATAAAATTTATAAAGGTTCTTAGAGAAATATATGTCGTTAAAATAATACATACAGCCCATTGAAAAATTAATGTATACTTGTGATTTTTTAACAATGGAGCTGTCGTTTTTTTCTGTATATATTACTAGAGGCCTATATTTACATCTCCGAATCTATCGAGCAGCAAAAATAATGTATAATCGATTATTTCGTGTACATGCAAAAATTTTTCGGATCGATTAAGATGGCACTATATATGAATGTATGCATTTCCACTGTGTATGAATTCGTTATTGTTGCAGTTGTTTCCTACATCGTTGGAATTCAAAAAGCAACGAAACTTTTAGAAATGCAAATACAATCATCGAAGAACACATGTGCGAAATTTCCGATCGATTTATTACATTAGTTCGTCAATTTCGTACTATCTACTTTTGAATTAACAATAATGAAAAAAATTCTGTTTACTTTGATAATAAATTGTTATCTGTTACATTCTTATTATTTACACAATCGATTTACAGAGACAGTCAAACAGGTCCCTGCTCAGATCTTTCCCTCACATCGGTAAAATATACGTTAATTTGCATGTAATGATTTCTTATCTACGTATCACGTAATGCTGCAAAAATAAACTTATATATTGATTTGTTACACTCCTTGCCATGTTTCGCCAAGATTTATATATCATATCTATTGTTATTAAGTGCAAATACAATTTTATTGTTTGATTGATTGTACTAACTATAATTTAAATTTAGAGCTTTATTGCAATAATCAGTCAGATTGTTCCATGAGTACACGGTCAAAAGTAACACGACTAATGTTGTTTCGAAAGTCTTAATTGAAGATGTTTAGAAGTTTTTTCATGCGTAAAGTGTCTTAGATAACTGAGATTGGCTGATGTAAAATAACACTTTTTAGGAGCTGTATAATTGTTTCCGACGACTTGTAATTTGAAATATACCAATGTCTGAAATTGTACCCCTCTCACAGCATCCCATACTTCTTTTAGTTGCATGTAATTAGATAAAA